GTATATATATATATACATATATATATACATATATACATATATATACATGCATACTACCCTTTTGGGCTGGTATCTTAATCTTAGTATTTTTGTTAATTTACAGCACCTGGACTCAGAATTGTGATATTTGGAAAAAGTGAGGACAAAAAGAAAACGCTCTGCCAATTCATCATGCAGAAAAAACACTTTCAGTTCTCTAAATTCAACCCGAACAAGCAATGTGAGGTGGCTCGTGGAGAATGGAAAAGAAAACCAGTAACAGTGGTGAAAACCCCAGACATGTTTAGTATGACTGTGAAAGCAATTATTGAAGAGATGAGAAGCTGTGTGAGTCTTTCCCTTCCTGGACCAAACGTTTTGTTGCTGTTAGTGAAACCTTCTAATTTCACTGAAGAGAACAGAAGAACTCTGAAGGTCATCCTGAGTTTGTTTGATCAAAATGCCTTTAAACACTCGATGGTCATCAACACACATGACAACCCAATGAGTTCCTGTGTGAATGAACTCCTCTGGGACTGTGGAGGAAAATTCTATAACATTTTTGAGGAAGACCACAAACAGTTAATGGCGAAGATTGAGGACATTGTGAATGAAAATAAAGGAAAATTCCTCACGTTCACTGAAGAGACCACACAACTGACGTCTGAACTCATCAAGCCAGCTCTAAACCTGGTTCTGTGTGGGAGGAGAGGAGCAGGGAAGACGTCAGCAGCCAAGGCCATTTTAGGTCAGACTGAGCTTCATTCAGACTCCAACTCATCAGAGTGTGTTAAACATCAGGGAGAGGTGTGTGGACGTTGGGTTTCCCTGGTGGAGCTGCCTGCCTTGTATGAAAAACCTCAGGAGGCAGTGATGGAGGAATCACTCAGGTGTATTTCCCTCTGTGATCCTGAGGGTGTCCATGCCTTCATCCTGGTCCTAACTGTGGCTCCCCTCACTGATGAAGACAAGGGAGAGTTAGAGACCATCCAGAACACATTCAGCTCTCGAGTCAATGACTTCTCCATGATTCTGTTCACTGTGGACTCAGATCCTACACATCCAGCTGTAGTTAACTTTCTAAAAGACAAGAAGGACATCCAAGAGCTCTGTGAGAGCTGTGGAGGAAGATCTGTTGTTCTCAACATTAATGACAAACAGCAGATCCCACAGCTGGTCCAAGCTGTGGAAAAGGTGAGAGATAACGGACCCAAATCCTTCACAAAAGACATGTTCATATTAGCTCAGATGGAGAGAGTGGTAGAAGAGAAAAACATTAACACAAGACTTAAAGCTGAAATGGATTTAAGAAAAGAAAGGGCCATGTGTGTTGATGATAGAAATCAGAACAGGGAATGTCTCAGGATGGTTCTGATTGGAAAGACTGGCAGTGGGAAGAGCGCAACTGGAAACACCATTCTGGGGAAAAAACATTTTAAATCTAAGCCCAGCGGGAGGTCTGTGACAAAGTTCTGTGAGAAAGCAGAAGGAGAGGTTGATGGACGTCCTGTTGTTGTGGTCGACACCCCCGGTCTGTTTGACACGAGTCTGTCCAGTAATGAAGTTGAACAAGAGCTCGTTAAATGCATCACCATGTTGGCTCCTGGACCTCATGTGATCTTACTGGTGCTATCAATCGGCCGGTTTACAAACGAAGAAAAAGAAACTGTTGAACTGATAAAGAAATACTTTGGGAAAAATTCACAACATTTTATCATCGTTACATTTACCAGGAAAGATGAACTGAAAGGTCAAACATTTGAGAGTTACATAGAAGATGATTGTGATGAATTTGTACAAAAACTGATTCATGATTGTGGAGACAGATATCATGTCTTTAATAATAATGATGCAAAGAATCGGGCTCAGGTCAGTGAGCTGCTGACAAAGATTGAGGTAATGGTGCACGAAAATGGAGGCAGCTGCTACACCAGCGAGATGTTCCAAGAGGCTGAGGTGGCAATAAAGAAGGAAGTGGAGAGGATCCTAAAAGAGAAGGAAGAGGAGATGAAGAGACAGAAAGAAGAGCTTGAACAAAAACATGAGGAACAAATAAAAGCAATGGAAGAAAGAATGGAAGAACAGAGAGCGGAAACTGAATGGCAGAGAAAACGGATAGAAAAACAACTTAAAAAAATGAAGGATAACATAAAGAATGAACGTGAACAGAGAAAAAGTGAACAGAAAAGGCGAGAAGCAGAGGACCGCCAAAGGAAAATACAAGATGAACTTCAACAACAAGAGTTGGAACAAAAGCGTATAGATCTGGAGAAAAAACTAAAGGCAGAATCAAAGGAAAAGGAAATAACTGACCGACAGCTGGAACAAAGCAGAGAGGAGATGAGAAACCAACGAGAGAAGTGGGAAAAGGAAAGGAGTGAGTGGTGGGACAAACGACATCAAGAAAATGAAGAGAAACAAGCAAAACTTACAAAAATGCAAGAAGAATACGACCAGGAAAAAGAAAAATATATAAACAAGAGAAAAGAAGAGGATCGAATGAGAAGAGATCAAGAGGAGAGAGAACGGAAAGAACTGGAGGAAAACTATAAGAAAAAACTGCAAGAAATGAAGACGAAATATGAAGAAGAAGCCAGAAAACAGGCTGAAGAGTTCAACGAGTTCAGACAGAAATACACCAAAGACTTTACAGCTCTGGTAGAAAAACACATGGAGGAAATAAAAGAACTGAAACAACAACATGAGAGAGAAATGCAGCAGACAGACGTGAGACACAGTAAAGATTACAAACAGTTGGATGAACTCTCCAGTTACAAAGAAAAATCTCTCAAAGAACAAATTAAGGACTTGGAGAAAACGCATGAGGAAGAAATAGAGGCTCTAAAAAAGAAATATGAGAGCAGCTGTATTATCCTCTGATCATGAACATGATAGCTCTTCAGTACTTTTTCATATTTTTGTCCAACTTTTTTTCCAATATTTTGGAGATTGATTCAAATGTACAGGACTCCATGTTCTTGACAAGTCTGGCTAAATATTTAGATTATGCACAGTTAATAAGACTAATAAGAATGTACATCTGCAGTATGTGTGACATTGGCATGGTGGACGATGTTAAGTAAATTCTTTGATGTACAATATTTAATATGCGGTAAAATTGTCACTCTCTTTCATAATCAATTTTCTCCTCATTTGGAGACTGAAATAAAAACAGAATTAAAATGTCCATACGTTCTTTATGTCATAACAACCCACAGCTTTACTGTGTTCCAGCAAAGTATCCAATAGCAGTGACAACTCCTCCACATTAGCAGGTGGTATTCTTCGTTTTTGGGGACGGCTCCTTTTACCTTTCAATATGGATGGTCTGTTTATGTTTTGATCCAGACAGCAACAGGGATGAGTCAGTGAGTCAGTTGGGCTTGTGAATCATGATTCATGAGTCAGTAAAGTGATTCACGAGTATTGAACGATTCGTTCATGATTCGCGCATTGGGTGCTTGATTCGCGCGCTTCACAAAAACTCCCCCGAGATTACCCGACACACTTCGAAGCGTCGACACATCACTAACTAACGCTTTAGTCCAGTTTGCTTGCAGCCTTCCAGTGATGTTACTTCTCTTCATCAATCTGATAATCGCGGTCCTTCCGTCTATGCACCTTTTTCTTCTGTCTGCAGGTACAACCGGACGTGAAGACGGTAAGAAGCGAATATTAATCAGCACAGTGCTCAAATAATGTTTACATAATAACAATCGCTGACCGTCATCAACACCACTCATTTATTACAGCCTGTACAGGCTGTAATAAATATGATCACAGTCAGAGGTTAAGGGTGATTCAGACAGACAGTTGTGTTTATTCTACTAAAGTCTGTCAGACTTTAGCGATGTGATGTTTTGTTTAGACATTTACAGTCAAACGAATTCAACTCTGTTTGGCAGGGCCTGATCACTCCTCGTGTCGCCTCGGCTCCTTTGCTCTGCTTTCCCTCCCTCTGTCTCACCCACGAGTGAAAATGGGGACTTTTCAATTTTGTGGCTTCAACGAGGAAGTGATGAACTCTGTTATCTCTGGTTTGTTACTAACGGATAAGTCTGTCTTTAAGAAGCTCTGTGTTCGTGTTTTGATGCGTTGAATCCTCACAGTCTTCATTCCAACAAACTGAAAAAAGCAACTGCAGACCTTACCACTTACCGTGGAGTGAAGCTGCCACCCTCCCACTTAGAAAAATCAGAAGGCAGAGAGCATCTTATTGTTACACGGATAAGGGAAGATTTCGGGTTTAGATTCAGCTTGATTAGTTTCGGTCTCTAACTTCAGCTCTGTGATCATGAGGAAGTCAAACATGTGGAGTCTTGAAGTGACGACTGTGATCAGAAAAACACTCCTATTTAAATATTTTCGATTTTTGTAAATCAAATGAAACCTTTGGACTGTTGTTCAGATAAAACTGGAATTTCTTAAAAACATTGCCCTGGTGTTTTTGACTATTTTATGATATTTCGTGATTGTCAAACAGGATCAGGAGACAGAGATCGTTTTTGATTTAATAAAGAAAAAAGTTTAATAATGTAAAAATGGAACCAGAGCTTTAAATTAAACTGTCTAAACTATGAGAGTTTAAGGAAGCTGCTCTGCTGCAAAGGAGAAAAAAACACAATCACGCGTGACCTACAGTAGCAGTGACGCCCACAGATTTAAAGCCCTCCTTGTGCTTTGTTGCACTGTGTTTGTGCTGAAGTGTGTTTAGTGTGCACCGCGAGAGTTTTAAAGTTGTAGTTTTTAGTGTTTAATAAACTCGATCTGATCGGACTCTTCGGGAGCTTCTCTGACGCTACAGTTCAGTTTGCCTGTTACAGCCTCCCCGTCATGACACATCAACTCATCAATCTGATAATCGCGGTCCTTCCGTCTGTGCACTTTTTTCTTCTGTCTGCAGGTACAACCGGACGCGAAGACGGTAAGAAACGAATCTAAATCAGCACAGTGTTCAATGCTAATGTTTACACACATGAATAACAACAGCTGACCGTCATCAACAACACTCATTTATTACAGACAGCTGTGTTTGTTTTAAAGTCTTTCAAACATTAGCGATGTGATGTTTTGTTGAGACATTTTCAAACGAATTAAACTCTGGATAAAAAAAAAAAAGCGTCACAAATCGTTGCCCGCATCTTCCGGAAATATAATTGAACAGTTTGGGGTTGTGGGGCGTGTCCTCTCCGCGTGTTGCCTCGGCTCCTTTGCTCGTCTCTTTGACATCACCTGATCTGCTCTCCCTCTGTCTCACCCACGAGTGAATACAAGGACTTTTCATTTTGTGGCTTCCAAGACGAAATGACTAACGGAGGAGTCAGTCTGTAAGACGCTCTGTAGTTCGTGTTTTGATGCGTACAGCTCACACTGAGCACCGTGACAGAGTCCGACTGAACCCACAGCAGTGAGCCGGACTTTGGTTCAGACGAGCAAAGAGACGTTTAATAAAACAAAACACATTTTCCCTCAGAACCAAACTTTGAAGTGACGTCACAGCTGTATATGTAACGTATTTGTTACGGCCCAAACTGCTGTCTATAAAATGAATGTAATTCCACCACAGTAGGTGCCGCTGAATGGAAACTGAAAGTGTGCGCTTCAATCAATTCCGAGTGTTTTAGAGTCCACTGTGGCTGTGCAGAGGCAAGGTTACCGAAACGTAGTCCCAAAACTTATGGTTGTACCACATGGTCACACCTTTTCCAATTTTTTATTAAACAAGATTTAAAATCTTTATTTAAATTATTTGAAAATAATTTACAAATGTGATCGGAAATGACTTAAAAATTTATTAGGCTGTGTTTTGAGTTTTGTTCAAAAAAAAAGAAAGACTTCATATAGGGGAAAAAAATCTTATATGCGAAACACTCTAAACTATTTTTTTAATTAAGCAGCAAGGCAGAACAAAGTCAGGGCTGTATCAAGACACAGGAACTAAACCACAATTCAACCAGACCCAGAACTGACTCGGAATTAAAACAGGACTTCAACAGTTCAAAATCAGGACTACTTTAGGCCACCCATTCCCACCAATTTACTCAGAACCAGAATCAAAACAAAATCATCATAGACCTGCACTACACTTATTTTTTAATTCTACCAAAGAACAGTATTTAGATTCTGAATGGTTTATATAGCTATTTAGCTTTGTTGTGCAAACAAGCCTGCATAAATATAGAAAAAAATGGTGAAGACCATTTTTCTACCTGAACCAGGTGGTTAAAAAAAAAAATCAAATTTAAATGTTTTACCTTGCAGAGCTTACCCTGAAAGATCGATCAGGTGAAATCGCAGGTGAGTGATGATGTCACTGAAGTGTCTGTAATCTGTGTGAGCTGCTCCCAGTTTGGGTTTAGGAAACAAACAGATCATCTCAAACTGTCCTTTGTGATAAACCTCAGTTGGGCTGGATCCTGAACCTGGTTTGTTGTGCTGCTGTGGACAGTATTATCTGGATGAGAGTCAATTACTTCACATGAATGATAAACATAAAGACAAAGACTGGTGAATTTAAAGATCAGCACGGAGTCCACTGTGGCTGTGCAGAGGCAAGGTTACCAAAAAGTAGTCCCAAAGCTTATGACGCTAACTGCATGCAGTGGTATAATCACATGGTCACACCTTTTCCAGTCCTTTATTAAACAAGATCAGAAAATGAAAATCTTTATTTAATCATTGGAAAAGAATTTACAAATGTGAAATGATTTCTATATTTATCAACAGTGATAAAGCTTTGTGGTGCTGAGCCAAAAAAAACGTTGCCAGAGTTTAGAGCTTTAAGTGTTTATTTTGTTACGTTTTTAGAGAATATAGAAAATGTTTTTTTACAAAACTAAAACCTTTTAATACAAAAATCCAAAGGATGCAATAATCATATCTGCTAATGCACAAGTGGCAGCCTGAATATCTGAATATTGTATTTCCTTTGTACTAAACATGGGGAAACAAAATAGAAAAAACAGGAATTGCTTTTAAAATCTTTGTTTATTTTCAGCAGTTAGTCTTTGAGACTTCAGTATGATGACCAACATGAGGTCCACGGACTTGTTTCATAATTGGAGGGTAAAAACAGTTTGTGATTGTCCAGCTATTTGTCTTTAATGATGTATCACAATCTTTAAATTTCATCTGCAGCAGTTAATTTTATCAAACATCAGTATGAAATGAAAGGGTTGAGGTTTGAGGAGTAACTTTCAGTAAAATAAACATGATCACATGGAAATACGAGGTTTCATTTGTAGAAATCAAAATGATATAAACATAAATTTAACAGTAAATAGATGGAAACAAACTTAAACTGTAAAATGTAAGTGACACACACTGAATCCTCAGACTAGAAGAAGCTAAATCACGCACACACGCTAAACGTTCTTGCATTGGTTGGGTCATGTGACCTATCAGATGACTTATGAGCTTCAAACAAAAAATTAAAGGTTTTAAAAACATTCACAAATAAATGTGTCGTCCAACTAACATGATGTAAACATGAAATGGCATGTGTGTGCTCACTGTGTTCTATGTTATCTACATGTTATTTTTAGCTTTTTAAAAACAAAATAAAAAATATGATTCATTCCAGGAGTCGTCACGGTGGTTGTCTCAGAAGGAAGTGATGCCATCTTACCCTGCTCCCTCAGCACCAATCAGAACCTTGAATACCTCCTGTTTGATTGGAGGAAAAAAGCACCAAATAAACAGGAGGTGTTCATGTATGATGGAGGCATTCATTACAATAATGGACGTCCAGGTCAAGACGAGCAGTTCAGAGGACGGGTCTCACATTTCCCACAAGAGCTGCAGTTTGGTAACGCCTCCATCATTATCAGAAACACCAGGCTGGCTGACAGTGGAGTCTACACCTGTGATTTTCCACATCTGCAGCTGGAAGGGAAAACTTTCAGAATAAAGCTTGATGTTGGTGAGTCTTTTATTTTGGAGAACATCCTGGAAAAATGGTGAAGACCATTTTTCTACCTGAACCAGGTGGTTTAAAAAAAAATCAAATTTAAATGTTTTACCTTGCAGAGCTTACCCTGAAAGATCGATCAGGTGAAATCGCAGGTGAGTGATGATGTCACTGAAGTG